TTTCAGGCCCCAACTATCGAGCTGAGAGGCTCCAACCGAGGCCAACTTCGAACTAAAAGCCTTCATTTCTCTCGACCTAGTCATCGCTTGGCCACCTCTCTTCTTCCATCCACACCCCCGGCGTGCAAACAACGCACGTCGTGGGAGTCGGTGAGCTGGCATGTGCAACACGTGGCCGAGCCATCGGAGCCTGGTGCGTAAAATAACGGTGTTGAGCGGTTCACGTCCTTTTCCTGTGCCATAAACAAGGCGTAGAACACCCTGGTTGCTCACGTGGTGTTCCCACCAGATGTGAGCCAAGCTGCAAAGGCACCCTGGTCGAACGTAACTATCCTCCTCATGTCTGCTGATCTAATGGCCAGGTTTCGCAGTCGTATTGGAGAGTTGAACGAGCCTCGCTCTTTTATTGTACGGTTCGTGATCTCACCTTCGATCCCAACGGCAGTGATACTACTTCGAACTACTTCCAGCTGATACTCACCAAGGGTCAGCGCTGGAAGCAGTCCCTGTCAATCTTGGAGGAAAGCTCTGCATTTCGAGGGTGCAAAGCGTAGCCCGAAACGGTTGACAGTTAGTGGTTATCTGTCCAATGCCGCTTGGCACGTTTGATAGCTGTGACAGATTAGGGCATTATCGTTAGCAAGTCAAGAAGTCTTTCGCCTGGGAGCAACTCCACAATTCCTACGTTGTGTCCTGTGAACGTAATCTTCATGACTTCGTCAATGGCGAAGTTGAAGAGGAAAGGTAACAGCGGGCATCTTTGTCACACACCACTGGAGATATCGAAAAGCAGCGACAGCTTACCGTAAGCCCTCACACTGCCCGAGCTACATGCGTTTGACGCTTGGATAATATTTACATATTTCTCGGGCATATCTTTCCAGAGTAGATTGCCCCAAAAGACACATCGATTAACCGAATCGAATGCACCTTTGATATCGAGGTACACGACAACAGTGGGCCGCCAATGTATATGACGGTTCTTCAACAAATGACGCAAAGTTGAGATATGATATATGCAGCCTCGACGAAACGTGGCCTACTCTTCACGAATCTGACTTTCACAAGTGCCAGTCAGTTTGTGAAGGATGACAGAGGTAATCAATTTGGAGGCGATGGATATCAGTCTGATTCCTCTCTGGTTGCCGCATTCCAAACGCGAGGCTTCCTTGCAAATTGTGACTATATCAGGGTAGCTCCAGTCTGTCTGAACAGTTTCCTGCTCCCACAGTTTCACTAGCAATTCGTGTAAATCATCAACCATAGCAGGACCCCCAAGTTTGATAATGGCTGGATGTAGATCATCTGGTCCCGCGGCTTTATTCAACTTCAGCAGTCCGATCTCACGTTCGATTTCAGAGCGAGTAGTCGGATTCAAGCGGACGGCCCACGAAGTAAGGCGATCAGTGGCCGGCGATAAATTTGACAATTCCGACCGATTAAATTGCCTTTTCAAGTGCTCAGTCCAACACTCCAAGTGTTGTGACAAGTTGTGGATCATTTCTCCACTCTCGTCACGTGTACCTTCACTTACTTCAGGTCTCCTGTTGTCCGTTTCCCCTGTCAGCCGGAATAACTTACGATGGTTACCAAGGATAGCGGCTATTTCCATCTCTGACGCACGATGAGACCACCAGGATTCGCGGCCTCTTTTTAGGCTAGCACAGGGTTTTGGCCGGAGGTTTATACAAGTCTCATTGTGTTCGCTTCCAGCCGGAATATGCTGGCGAGCATCGATAAGTTCCAGAGACTGCGAAGAGACCCAATGTCTATTTTGGCTAGTGGATTTACCGCATGATGATTTACCTGCTGCTAGTAAAGTCTGGTGAACATGTGGCCAGTGACCTTCGATTGTATTCACTTAGCGCTTATTCAACTCGCAAGTCAGCGTACTTCGATACACTTTCAGAACTCGCTATTTGCTTGGTGTCCATGCGTTCACAGGGTCGCCGTGGGCCTCCGCCAAAACGCATCCGCATGTCAGCACATACAAGTGCACGGTCAATATCCACACATGTGCTCCAAATCGAGCAAGAGTTCTGGATGTAGCCTCTCCAGCGGAAACTGACCGCAATGTGATTGATTTGCCTACACTGCTGGTTGGCGCCATGTCACCCTCAGGCGAGCGCTGTCTCGTAAGTTAGTGTTTGCAAGAAATACGCGGCCATCTTCACACAAATGAAGTAACTGCCCGTCATTATCATTACGGGAACCTACACCGTGTTGGCCGACCATATGAGGTTCATCAGTGGACGATTTTTCAACTTGAGCGTTCAGCCCCCAGCCAGCACTAGTGTCCGTGCTTCTTCTGTGGCGAAGCAGCTCGTTCAATTGGCGATAGAAGTCGTCTCTTACGGAATCATCGCTACCGTTTGTGGGAGCGTAGGCAGCGATGAGAAACAGACAGCTGTTACTCCCGCACAATTTCGAAGCTTTGGACGAGCCAGCCAATCGGACCGCGCACATCCGGCTACTGATTTGGATCCAATTAACCAAGGCAGCTTCAGCCCGGCGACCCAGTGCAATATCAACACCGGCTTGGCCGGTATTAGAAGCTGCATAGTCTCCGGATAGGCGCAGTGCGAAAGCACTGCTGGTGTCACCTGAAAGGGATAGCAAAGCGAGCACAGAGCCTGTATGTTGCAGGCGGTTTCCGGTGAGCAGCAGATATCGGTCGAGAGGGTCTCTGATGTTCGAGCAAGCGCTGCTTGTTGACCGATCTGTAACAGAGTGCGTACCTCGCTGCATGTAATCTGAACTAGAATCGAAGGCTCTAAATGGAAGCCGATGAACTGGACTTGACTGGTTGATTAGACAAGGTCTTGTCGACTGGGCGGGAGTGACGCTCTGCGTTTGAATGGGAGTTGAAACGGGAAGATATACGCCTATCAAAGCATGGTGGGGGCGGTCCAACAATTGAAGGTTTGAAAACTGGTGGGATAAAAGTGAAGTAACAGGTCCGTAAGGGTGCAAAAACGTAATTGGGGGATAAGAAGACGGGAGTGCTTGAGCAGTAGCATCCAAATGCCTATCTAATCTGCTCGATGTAGCAGATAACGCGCCGTTGATGATCCTCTGCGCCGGTTTAAGGAGAGGTTCATAGGACCTACTTAGAGAACCTGTGTGTCAGGAAAGTGCGAACAGCCCCCTACTATTGAATGTTAGGTTTTGGAGTACCCGCTGTGTGTCTTGGATTGCGACACCCCATCTAATTTGTGACTTTGGTTGATTTTGATGTCAGCCTCTTTCATACCGATCACTTGGACCTTATCTGAAGTGAAGTGTTTCGGTGTTCCTCTCTCCCATCACTGCACCCCGCAACCGACCGGTTTCCTCTTGTTTTGGACTGGTCAGGTAGAGATAGCCTTTTGTGGGAGCGTAACAAAACACCTTATGGTTGGACGTGATCACTAAAGCCAATGAGCTCCGCGAGCAGCGCTTGACACAGCAGTTAACAATTGTATCTTCGGTTTCGGAGTACCCGCCATGGGTCCTGGATTGCGACATGCAATCTCAATTGTGTCCTCGGTTGACTTTGAAGTCAGCTTCTGTCATTCTGACCACAGAGACGGTATCCACTACCATATCAGACTATCCGTACCTGTCGAGTTCAAATCAGGACGAAAGCGGTCAGTCGTATAACGCAGCGATGAGAGAGAGCAACACTCAAGCCCCTTGCCATCTGCTGAAAATGATCTGGCGATGCGGAACCATAGGAGGATTAAAAACTGGCTGGCGGCAAAGGAATGTGACTGACAGGAAGCTTTACCACTGCTCTTGCTGGCCAATCGGGTGTCCAGTAAGGCCTTCTCAGAAAAATCGCCGTTGTTGTTGATATGCAGTTGAGCACTTTGGCTATTCGTGAATCTGCCAATTGGAATGTGCCCAACCTATCTAATACTTCCGAAAGAATACAGGAAAGCAGAACGATAACTACCTTGACCTGAAAACAGCTCAAGCGCAGAGGATGGAGTGGTCCCAAACCAACAGTGGCAAAGCGGAGGTGTTTCTAATCGGTTCGAAACTGAAATGCATAGCATATTGTCGCACACTCTCATCTGTCTCAGATGAAACGAAGCTCCCAGCAATGTGGAAGTGACTATATGAGGCGGTCACATAACGAGACCTACTGCATACAATCGCTCGACAGGAGGCTTCACGACGAGTACTTGCCATGAAACCGAGGAAGTGGCACGAGCACGAATAGGAAGTCTCTTCACGAAGCGAACTGACCCGATGGTCCAAATTACACCGAACAGAAGCAGCAGTGGCGAACATTTGGGGGAAATAGTATGGTGTGTTACAAACAAGTGCTACTGTGCCATGTGTTAGTTATCTAATTACACCAAGAAAGCCCGACGGTAACCGGTCAACAGGGGGACTGTACCAACGCTTCAACCGCAGGCGAACGCTTATGAGCCGCAGATGTATGTTAACTAGAAAATGACACAGAAACCATGCACCCTGCAATCCATTGGGATGAGTTCGGAGATAGGCGCAGCGGTTTGTGGTCAGAGCCCTTTCATATGATTGATATTTGCCATAATAAATAACTCCGTTCGCAGCTAAGGTTCTTGCAAACCATCTACCTCCTGTTACGTCTTGAGACTGCAACTCCACAGATCTCTTCCACTTGTATTTCTACATTTCTGTATTCCCGAGTCAATTTATCTTTACGACCCGTAGCCTTTAGGACCACCATCCTGCCTTGTGATCCGAGGACACGGGTTCGAGCCTGCGTAGGGACTGGGCGACCCTCACAGTATCCTTAGCATACGTGCAACTGGTGGTGGTTGCGCGGCAGCGAAGCCTCGATACGCAGTACCGGTAATGCTGATGCCTCTCTCTTCTGCGCAGCTATCCGTGCTCTGGCCTCCACATTCAACTATGCTCTATTCATTTTACGATGTTCTCTATCGACCCAACATACACATCTCGCACTATTTTTGCTGTCCCCTGTGATTTGAGTTAACTTTATTTCTCTGTTTCTGCCCAACTAGCAACACCTCAGCACACTTCTTTTAGGGCTGCTTTTCCCCAACCCCGCACGGATCTCATTCTGGATTGTCCTGCCCCCTGCAGATCCGTTGCATTCGCCCGTACTGCTTCAAAATTCACATCCTTGCTCAGACACTTACGAATGTTATCTGTCAACACGATTGTATCCACTCCGGCCCGTACAAGTACTCCGTCTGCGTATTTGCGTTCCAACTGTGTGACCAACTCAACACTACCTCGAAATTACATTGGCTGTAATAGCTTGGTCACTGATGCATCGGAACGCTCAAGATATGTTGATGAAAGCATGAAACATATGCAGCCTCATGCAGTCACTAGCTTTGTGTCCGGGTGAGTTGGTTTTCAGATCTTTCGGTGTGCCTATACTTTTGCAGTTGCACCGCTCAACTAATCGAGTATGACGTTCTACCTCATCATCATTATCATCAGCTGCAGCAGCAGCAGCATCAGTACATTGGTAATTTGAACTAATGCTTCGCTACTGTACAATCATAATGACTTACGGAACAAGGAACAACAAGAGGCAAAGAGGTAAAGTATTAATACCGTAAGCAAATATTTAGCGCCAAGGCGCCTACACCTTGTCAACAACCTACCATCACAAACATTTGGATATTGTGCAGAAAATCAATCAGCATCGGCGTGACAGCTTTCTTGCGGCTTTCACTACCCTGCGTCATAGTGAGCCATTATCCCGTAGTTAACTCAGCACCAAACACACTGGAAATAGGCAGTTCGACTAAGAGATGACAGGTGATATGCTACTGGTGCTGAATGCGTGCGGCATTCTGTAAGATCTTAAGCCAAGCGCAAGGCGAATCATGTGGGCTCTAGGTTGGAAGGCGAGACGGACCAACGACACTCAGATCGTTAGTCATTCAAATCAAATCAAAATTAGCTTTATGAACCCTAAAGAGTTCACTTTCAGCATTTACATCACCACTCCGGACATCTGGATGATAATATCAATATACATGCTTGGGTAGAAAAGTGGGAAAAAGCAGAACGGTTACTTCAACAAGCGCTCGCGCAACATGTTAGTGACATTTGCTGTGTCAACAAGCAAAGGTGAGAGATAAGGCAAACAGTGTTACGATACGATGATGTGCGGTAGTATAAAAATCTGAATTTCGAACTAGTAGAATAAAAAGGGAGCGTTTTGGAAAAAGCATTGTGATGCGGATGAAATCGATCTGTTAGTATCTTAGAAGAAAAATCAATGTAAGCATCAAGATGTCTAGAAATGGTCAAATCAAGTAAAGAATCTCTAGACAAGCCGATGCATCTAGAAATGTGCTTTATAGGTCACACTATAGAGGAATCGTTCGGTCGCTATATATCAGGTTCGTCCCGCCTCAAGGAAAAGTCGGAAAAAGATGGATATATGGGCGAGATAGACTTTATTGTGAAGGTAAAATCCCGCTAGCTAAAGGCACCGCAAAAAGATTTTAGCTAGATCCAAGGTATAGTCGCCAGACGAGACGCAGCACACGCCCTTCGAGGCGGAAAAGTCAGAAGCGCGCGAATGCGATTCGTCTGGATGATTCAAACACACGTAGTCATCGTGCGCACAGGAAAGCTTCCTAAGTTGTCTATGTACAGAATGATATTATATTTTAATAATATTTTACCCAGACAAACAGGAAAATTTCAAGGTCATTACAACACCAATACGATGTTGCTTTTCTAAGGCAGTCCAGGGAAAATGACAGGGGAACAGTATAGCCAATGGGGAATAATACAAGAGGTCACGAACTTGAATATCAAAGTACCAGGTACTGAAAGCACCTGAAGTCTGGAGGCATAAAAACAAAGTTTTCTGACTTTTTGAAAAGTTTTACAGACATGCGTGGACCAAGTAAAGTTGTGGGACAAAATGACGCCGAGATACTTGATGGTGAAAGAGCTGGGTATGGGATTTTCATTCACAGTAAGTGTGGGGGAGAAAGCTATGAGGGACTGCAACTTATCGCCAAGTAGAAAAGAAAATATTACATCTCTGCATTTAGAAGCATTAAGCATGAGATCTGGATGAAGACCATTCCACCAGATCTTCCAACTCACGTTGAAGTGATGAGGAATCCTGGTTAATGAGGGACATACATCCCAGCACAACATCATCAGCATATTTACACCCTATAAACGTGGTTTGTATAGGGAGATGTTCAACATACATGGAAAATAGAAAAGGTGATAGGATCGCTTCCTGTAGAACACCACAGTCGGCACCGAGGATAGTGAATTTCTTACTTGGTGAAGTGAGTACGATCTGTAAAATAGTCACGTAACAGATTACACACACCAGGGTGAACTTCATTTTCGGATAGCAGGTTTAGCAACCTTGACCTATCTAGGCTTTCAAAGGCGTTCGAATAATCCAGGAAGAGTAGCCGTACGGATTTACATTTTTGATCTGATGCAGAGGCTATACAAGATATGCCACTGCATCCAATGTGGATCGCTGGGGTCTATACGCAAACTGGTAGATATCTTCTTCAGGAGCGGCTGAAAAAATCCGCGGAATTAACACTCTTTTGAAAAATGTTAGGAGCACAGATGTACATGCAATTGGGCGATACTTTTGAGATCCAGTTTTGGCTACTGGAGTGATACTGGCCGTTCTCCAAATGTCCGGGATCACACCCGTAGTGAGACATTTGTTAAAGAGATCTGTTAGAGGCAGTGTGAGAGAATCAGCACACTCCTTCAAAGCTAATGGTGAGAGAGCATCCGGACCACAAGCTTTGGTTGTCTTTAATCTTTTGAGTTCCTTGTGGACGTTGCTTTGATCGAAGGGCGCGGCTGGACTTGAGCTAATGAAGAAGGGCAAGGAAGATGAGCTTAGTGAGGCGGAACTAAACTCCGAATTCAGTTTATCCACATCCACTTCACCTCTCTGGCTGCAAACGCTCTTACCACAGAGCTGCCTCAGGAGCCTCCATAGATCGCGACAGTTATGGTTGTCTAGAACTGCTTCGACGTATAATTGGTGTAGTCTTTTTATCTCGGATTTAATTGCTGTGGTTAGGCTTTTGACACGGGTAGCATTCTTGCACTTGTAGGCCCATTCTTTCATCCTTCGAAGTCGCTTTAGTAGTGGTGATGAAAATCTATCTGCTCTTAGATAGATCGTTTCAACAGGGCAACACATGTCAAAGCAATATTTGATGTAGTCCGTAAGATGGTCACATTCGAGCGACAGGTCCTCGTCGTTGAAGACCGAAAAATCAGTTAAAGGAAACATGGTCTGGAGCCTCGTGATATTTTCCAAGGAACAATTTTGCCGTTTGATAATCTTGTAAGGACGTCTGGTCAGCGTTAAAAAATGAGACCTGCTGTATATGACTGGACACAGTTTTAAAATGCAATGGTCTGAGCTGCCCGAAAGGGCCCGCTTTTATGGCAAACAACTGTCGTTTATTTGTGAACACAGCGTCTAACTGGGCATCTTGTCTGGTCGAAACAGTCACTAGGTCTACCAATCCAAGTGTCTTCAAGAATGTTGTATCCTTTCTATTGAAGTCGACAGCAAAATACAGATAGAATAGCCTACTTTAAGCAGTAGCGTTGAAGAAAATTGGTACTCAAAAAGCTTTAACTCCGACGCAAATGTGTCAGGAATAATGTATACATTTCCAACGATGATTGATCGAAAGCCACTTAGGAACTTCGGTTTGCACTCAACGAAATGGCAGCTCATAGAAATTGCGTACGTAAATATTATGATAGCTGCGTTGCACCAACATTGATTAACGTAAGTTATAACGCCACCACCACGAAACTGGGGCTTCCCGGGGCGGTCAGACCTGATGGGAAAATAACCATCGAGTTGAATTACCCCATTTTCCACATCAGTATGCAACCAGCTTTCTTGTAACAGAATGATTCCTGTATTAACATACTCATTTCGCTGCATAATGGCACTGAGATCACTGATTTTACTAAGAAGCGAGCGAACATTACTGGAAAGTATCAGTGGGACTTGCGCTTTGTCGACAGAACAACGACTGAGGCCAGATTGCCAGCCAGCACGATGCTTGCGCTTTTTTCCAAGACATTTATTCGTAATACGTTTGCAATTGTTCCTGACTTTTATGGCAGTATTCGATAAAACACGGATTTAAGATAGTAACACGTAAGGTTTCCAAATGGTTGACGGAGTAGGACGACATTAACCTTGAGACCTGATCAAAAATAGCAAATTGCTTTTCAAGGTAAAAATAAAATATAGAATCCGCAGTCGGTAGTGTAAAATGATTCAAAGAGAACAGCAACGGCCGAATTTAAAGGCCCTGCTACTCACATCACTTCAGACTGCGAAGGTAATTTTTTGCCAACCTCGTGTCTTGTGCATTAGGGCACCCGCGCTGTCTCTGGTTGTCTCAGTGACATTTGGTCACCTTGCACTAGTGGTGCGGATCAGTTAGAAGAAGTTGTGATAATTGCCTACTGCTATCGCCACTTTCATTTCTTGTACCCTACGGCTGCACCAACGTACAGCCTCCGCTTTATTTCGTGCCTATTAGTTCGTCTGGCTACATTTGGCTCATAGCCAACAGTGCATTTTCTTACGGATTCCAAGATATATATATATATATATATATATATATATATATATATATATATATATATATATATATATATAGTATATCCAGTGACTGTTGCAGGGATGATTCATAGTGCTGCAAGCATGCTCCCGCGTCGTGTATGGCAGCCAAATTTCTATTCCATTAGGGCCGTTCGTCATTCGACTGTGAGAAAGAAAGTTTATTACACAATGCTGAGTCCTGTTAGGATTGTCTGCCCGATTTATGTGATAGCGTCTCAGTTGCCAATCGAGGATGGCGCTTAGTACTTCCCTCGGTAAAGTTTATGGAAGAACGATAGCGTACCAAATAATGATCAGAGTCGACGCAGCTATTCCAACACGAGCGAACATCCAGCATGGAACCACACCACTGAGACAGACTTTATTTAAGAGCAAGTAAAATAGTTTCTTTACGACTCTATCGAATTATGAAAACTCAATACTTTTTACTGGAAAACCTTCAAAGTTGACCACCTCTATATGTTGACCACCTCTCTAAGTTGGCCACTTTTTCATAGCTTGGACGGTCACTGTGTGAACTCTATGGGACTAGACCTATGTAACCTGTATGTTAACCACTTGAGCTATGACAGTCAGGAATAATTCAATCTCCATAAGTTGACCACTTGTGGGCTTACCATCCAATGGTTCCCGAATGGCTCGTTTGTTCCGATAACACAGCGTGCAGGGGGACTGCCCGCGCACGCATATTACCTAGATCAATGTGGATCCCCACAGATCC